CCGCCGACAATCCCATACATTGCTATGGGGACCATCCATGCGACTGCGCGGCTCAGCGCGATCTGAACCGCACCCCGCCTGAATTGTTCCCTGACCCTTTTTTGCTGCGCTGATCAGCATGGTTTCCACACTGCTTTCAATGGAACCGTGCTGTTGAGCACGGTTTTGACGGTTTTTTATTGCGTTTCATCGCCAAAATGCAATTAAAAAAACACCCAAAACCGCCCTTTTAAAATCCGCGCGGAAACCACGCTGAACCGCAACTGCCCTGGTGTGAATCGGGCCTAAGGCCTGTCAAAACACCTGAACAATGCCTGCATCCAATGAGATTGCTCAGGTATTTTGAAAGCCAGCGGGGCCGACTAGCAAGATCCTGAAGCTTGGCCCAGTGGGAGATTCCTCCATACACACAGTGTAGCATAGATGGAGGAATCTGTTGCACTTTTTCCATCTGACCATAAAATCTGCAGGTAATCTACAGGTGTATGGCCAGCTTAATTCTTATATTATCTTATAATATAAATGCTTATAAATGCTATATAAATCTTATACATATTTCCTCTTTACAAATAAAAGGCTGTGCTTTCTGCTTGGTAGTGTTGCACAGTCATTCCAGTGACTGTAAATGGAGATCTGTACTTTCTGAAAATACACCACAATTTACCATAAAGCACGTATAAACCTTCAGTTTAAATCAGCCAAATACATTCTAGGCGCATTAAAACAAAAGGTTTCCTACAGTTGGTTTTCTTTAGGAAGCAGCATCAGTCTGAGTAGAAAAGTTCCTTGCTGAAAAATTCAGGAGCCGGGTGGAAAATTGTCAGCCAAAATGCGACTGTATCCAGTCAGATGCAGATTTGGGTATTCAGACAGCTGCAGGCGCCTCAGTTGTCTGAAAACAGTAGTCGTCAGAGGAGATCATGCATACTGTTTAACGTGGTCAGGGGAATCGAGTGATTCTTAAAGAGAAATGAGTGTAGAGAGAAATCTACACACGTATGTATTCATTTCTATTTTAGTGTTCATGTTCTTTATCTATTTTCTGCTCCCACAGTTCCTATTTTGTATCTGTCACCTGACATTGCGGGCTGTGAAGCCCTCGTTTCCTCTGTCCTCCCCTCTGGTTTTCCGCTCTCGCTGTCTGTCCTCCTTGTCTCCCTTATTTCCTGATATGAAGCTGAATATAACCTTTCTGAGCTCTGCATGCCCTCCGCTGTTATTTTAAACCTGCCGACTGACGCCTCTCACTTCCATGTCCCGCGATCCTTGCTGGATAAAAAAAATTCAAGGTTCATTCCAATCCACAAATAAATATCATCTTTACATGTTAGGCTGTACAAGAAGGTTCAAGGTCTGATCTAATCCTCGTGTCAGTGTACAAAGACTACTGCATTTTAATAACCATTGCAGAGGGGCTACCTCCGCACTACAAGGGTTAACTGCTCCGTTTTGTCTAGGTCATTAAAAAAAAAAAAGTTTTACTCACCTGAACCTCGGGAACGGCCTGTGTTCTATCAAAGATTGTGACTGGGTTGGAATGTGTAAACGGTCACGTGGTCACACATTTTAATGTAGTCACGCCCACTTTTTCGGAGGTGGAATATGTGACCCGCAAAAAGTGAAGAATTCCAGCTGTTCCAGGGCAGATTGGCATCGCAAATGGTTTGTGCAGGCGAACCGATCTGTGCTGGAACTTCTGATTGGTCCTGAAATGTCACTTTTATCCGACTTTGTGAAATGTGAGATTGCACTCACAAAGTCGGATAAAAGTGACATTTCAAGAACAATCAGAAGTTCCAGGGCAGGTCGGTTCTCCTGCACAAACCATTTGCGATGCCAATCTGCCCTGGAACAGCTGGAATTCTTTACTTTTTGCGGGTCACATATTCTACCGCCGAAGAACTGGGCGGGATTAGGTTAAAATGTGTGACCACGTCACCGGTCACACATTCTAACGCAGTCACAGACTTTGATAGAACACCGGCTCTTAGACCAGTCCCTGGAACGTCTCTACCCTTTGCGGCAGCAGTCTAAGGTCCCATAAATCATCACATTCTATACACAGTGTATAGGAAGTGAGGACTCTGAGGGACATTTAATTGCTGCAGTGGAGGAGGAGACAGGCTGGAGGCAGCGCTGCTGGCTCCGAGGATCGGGTGAGTATAACTTTTTTTTTTTAACCCAGACAAAAATGAGCAGTTAACCCTTGCAGTGAGGGCATAGCAAGGGTTGATAAAATGTGTACCCAGAGTTCTGCTTTAAAACCCCTGAACTACTCCTTTAATTCAGTTTACACAGTAAATCAGTATCTGCGAAGTCATTATTAACATATAAACCGCCTACTGTTGAAATCTTTAAAGCTGGTAGCTGCTTGCAACTTGGAGCAGTGTTCTGTGCCCATAGGAAATCGGGTAGTACTGAAGCTAGCCATACACTTTTAGATCTTTCTCCTTCATGCGGTCACTGCCGCCATTGTATGCAGACATCCGCAATACCTGCGGTTGCCTGAAAACCTACTACGTATTATAGGATGTGGCAACAGTTCGGCTCACAACTTTCCACCCCACTCCAGTGACTTTTATCAGACAGGGCCACTCAGGCCTCCAGTTTCTTTCTGAACTGACCAAAATGTAGTCTGCCAATGGCCAGCTTTATACTGATACTCTCCTAAATACAAGTTTATAACGTTTCTCTGGACAGTGTCAGTGAATACTTTTCCTCTGTCTGCTGCATGTCCACATCACAAGTCATCTTAATTAGTCATCATTGCCCATACTGACCTGACTAATACAGCATGGCTGAGAATAACACCATTTGATGCTGTTGTGTATTCCTTTACAAATAATAGAATGTATCATACACACAGCTAGCATCAGTAAAATATTCTGTCTGGTTATCAGCTCTCTGTCTTCCCCTCCACAGCTCTGCTGATTGTGAACATGCCGACAGAAGGAGAGAGCAGAGCTAGTGGCGTCTCACTGTGCTGCTGCTCCTTCATTGTCCAATCAGCATGCTGGGGACACCACTGTTTTCTAGGAGGTCTGGAAGGAGGGACACCCTTCTGGCTGTGCTATCTGGCAGAGGTTTATCCATCACAAAGGTGACTGGACAGAATTGGAAATCCTTTGTCAGATACGTCCTTTTATAAATGGGAGTTTTTAGCAGTTTGCCTGGAGTTTAACATCAAAGAGTTTTAGTGTATTAACTAGAGATTGACCAATTATCGAATCTACTGATAATCGGGGGCCGATATTCCCACATATATTAATTATCGGTTAAATGTACCGATATTACCGATAATAAACACTGTGCACATTTCACAAAGGGGTGCCGCTGTCTGACTAGCATCCCCCGATCAGCTGATTTGAAGGAGCCGGTCAGAAAGTCTATCAAGGAGTAGAATCGCCAGCCACTGAACTGCTTGCGCTGTTGGGGTATTTTGACAGCAGCAGCTGTTAGAATACAAAAAAGCAGATAGCAGGGGAAGCAATAGCCAGCCTGCTATTGGCTATTTCAAATTGCAGTAGCCAGTAGCAGGCTGGCTATTGCGCCCACCCACTGCCTGCTGTCAATCAGCAGAGGAGAGGACCTGATGGAGAGCTCTCTTCTTCAGGTCCTCCTCTGCTGATTGACAGCAGGCAGTAGCTGGGTGCAATAGCCAGCCTGCTATTGGCTATTGCAATTTTAAATAGCCAATAGCAGGCTGGCTATTGCTCCCAGCCACTGCGGATCAATCAGCAGAGGAGCGGACCTGAAGGAGAACTTTCTCCTTCAGGTCCAGTCCTCTGCTGATTGACAGCAGGCAGTGGGTGGGTTTTAATAGCCGGCCTGAATTATCCAGTGTCAGGCTGGCTATGGCATTGCCGGCTGCGGAATCCTGCTGCTGGCAGATGAATGGGGTGGGGAGCAGAGGCTAGGGGTCGACCGATATTAGGCAACTGCCTGCTGTTTACATTCAGCCGCTGGCACACAGAAAGTTACGGAAGCTCCCAGTCAGGGTGTCCCTCCCTACACTTTTCACCGCCCTGAGGTGCTTGTGGTGCACATTACCAGGGGAGGGGGGCTTGGGTGGTGCACAGTCCTTCTGTCCAGCATTCTGCCCCGCTCACTGAGATCACTGGTTGTCAGGAGCTGGGCGGCACGCCAGCCACAGCGTCCCACTCAGCTCCTGGCAACCAGTGATGTCAGTGAGAGGGGGGCGGGACAGGTCTGGCCAGAAAGCGGGCAGCAGGCACATCTGCTGACCACCACGTGACCCAATGAGATGCTGCCTGAGGCAACCACTTCAGTCTGCCTCATTTATAGTGACGGCCCTGTCTCCAGCACACAGACAAAAATAAAAATGCTTTTAATTAATAAAGTAGGGAGAGGCTACAGCCCCTGCCAGATTTGTATTTCTATCTGTGTCTCTGTTGCAGATTTCCCTTCACTTCCTGTCGGGTAAAGCCATTGTCAGCAGGAGAGGAAGTGAGGGGAAATCTCTCTCTAGTGGAGCCATGGATAGCAGTAAAACCTGACAGGAGTTGTAATCCTTTCCCACTCTATCCAAAGCTAGAAAATAAGTATTTACCCTCAAATGCACTTTAAATAGTTTAGTGCAGGGGTAGGCAACCTTGGCACTCCATCTGTTGTGGAACTACAAGTCCCATGAGGCTTTGCAAAACTCTGACAGCCACACTGAAGCAGAGGCTTTGGGGATTTGTAGTTTCACCGCAGCTGGTTTAGGATCTCCTTATGTTTCAGATAGAAAGGTTGTCACGTTACCTGAGCCCCTTTCACAATGTCACATGCGCTGTAGTTTATTCAAGAAATACTTTGCCCGTCATGTCACCGCACACAGCGACTGCTGTCCCTGATAACCTTGACACCTTGAATTTTTTATTTACAAGCTGAGTCACCTGCATGGGTTTCCCTTCATGCGCAGCACAGTAGCTTTATTTTTCCATTTGCTGTTGGTAGTCCCGGCTTCTTAATTTCTCTTTTCTCCGTTCCCTCTACAGCTGGCCTGCCTCTGGGCGTTTTAAAGCTGATCACAAAAAAGCCGTATCAGAGAGGGTTTTTCTGTAATGACGACAGCATCAAGTATCCCTTCCATGACAGTACCGTCACCTCTACTGTACTCTACACAGTAGGCTTCACTGTGCCCATATGCTCAGTAAGTAGTCAAATCTACACGTGTCTTTCAGAGAGCACCTTAGGTTGGCCATACTCGTTACAATCCGATTGTACAATCTCCTCCACCAACACTATGTAATACGTGCGCCTGCCTAAGCAATCTGTCTCATGTCTATGCAATGAGGCAGGCTCCTGCAGTACAAAGTGCTTGGTAGGTCTAAGGCCCGGTTCACACCTGGGCGTTTTGTAGCGCGTTCCTACGCTCTGCAAAACGCTCAAACCCCAAAATCCCATTATTTCCTATGGGTATGTTTCACACCTGGGCGTATTACAGGCCGTATGAACGCACTACAAAACGCCCTACGCCCAAAAAAGTACAGGAGCTTTTTTGGACCGTTTTTGTCACGCGTATCCATTGGGATACAGCCAGGTAGCCCTCATTTTTTTTACTGCGAATTGCGCGACACGAAACGCGCATATTCGATTTATGCCTAGATGTGAACCCAGCCTTAGGGCTTGTTCACACCATTGCAGTGCAGGTAGGGTTGCCACCGGTCCCAGATTCACGGTACATGGTAGGTGATAGGATGTCACCTAGCGTGATAGGATGTGTTATTCATACGTAACCGTGCGATTCTAACACTACAATGGTGTGAAGTTGAACTAGCCCTAAGGCTAGCATCACACCTAGGCGTTTGCAGTTTTGTTCATTTTTTGCTTTTAAAATTGCGCAAAAACACCTGCATAGACATGTCTAAGGGACCAAAAACGCACAGCATCCTCCTGAAAATAGCTTCTGCATCTCTTTGGGCAGCAGGGGCTTTCTTACACGCGATGCAACGCTTAGGTGTGAACAGTCGCCATTGACTTCCATGGAAATGTGTATTTTCGCGTGACTAGATTATTATTATTATTATGATACAGGATTGAAATACCGCCAACAGTTTTCGCAACGCTTGTGATCCGAACTATTCACAAGAACTAGATCCGCGCATAAAAACGCTCAGGTGTGAACTAGGAATAAAGGACATAGTACAATCAGATTGCAATATGTATGATCAGCTTTATAATCCATCACAATACAGAGCACTTCAAGTGTGCCGACCGAACATGCTGCATATACAGGCGAAAGTGATTTTCTCGTTTACATTTATCCAACCCCTGAGAACTTCTCTTTGATAGGATACAGGTTTTGCTTCCAACCTCGAGCAGTGTTCTGTGCCCATTGTAAATACTTCTCCTATATTAGATATACGTTTATAACAGTAATCTGGACACGGATCGGTGTTGGTGAATATATTAACAGCGGGAACGTCTCTCTGATCATGTTCTTCTCTCTCATACTACGAGCAGGGAATAAGTATTTTATACTTGGCGACAAAAGTGAATGTTCAAGCTGGATGGAGGACAATACAAAGGGGTTGTTGTATAATTCATCATCTTATATACATGGTAATATTGGAGCTTTAGGTAATTGGTATTGTTTAGAAAGAACATTTGTAAAAGCACGAGTTCACTTTTACCAAAACATTGAGAGGAGTACAGTAGACACGACTTCAAATCAGAATTTGTAAGATCCCATCCGGCTGTGAGCATTGAAACTGAATTCCTCCACAGTGCCTATAGTTGCGGAGATGATTGGGGCTTTATTTCCAAGTGCTTTTACTACTTGTTCAGAATATATAAATACCTGACTGTGCGTAGTCTGGGCACAGGTTCACTTTAAAGAAAATCTAAACCCAACAACAACAATGTAGTAGATTGCAGCTTAGGTGGGTGGCTGCGTTAGTTTTTTCTTTTTCAGGCTTTTTCCCTTTGATTTTTCCTGGTGATCCTGCCACTTCCTGTCCTAGGTTGACAATACTCACCCACTGTACTGTATCTAGGATGAGCAGTGTTGCCACCCTAAAACTGGCCTTCAGTACCCCTCCCCAGGGGAAGGGGATACTGTATAGGGTATCACTTAAAGGGGAAGGGTTCTGTAGTCCTCAGAGATAGCTGGGACAGTGTAAGTGATAAGGGTACCGGACCGGAAGAGAGCACAGGCATTTTACAGCTGACAAGATTTCTGGCCGAATCAGCAGCAATTTCTTTGCACTTTTCAAACAGATAAGACCAAATGCTCTCAATTGTAAATTCAAAGAAGAACTCCGTGCAGAATTTCTATTTTTAGCCCCACTGCAAGGGTTAATAAACAGCTTGTTTGTGTCTAGGTGCAAACATTAAAAGCGTTTTACTCACCTGATCCTCGGTATAACTGGTTTTACTGTGTTTCTGAATGTTTTTTTCAGTCAAGGCACACTTTTAAGCGATGCAAAATCTTGAGGCACCCCTAGTGCGTTCTATGAATGCGTCCCAAACTTGGAAAACATTTGTGTTTTGACACACGTTCATGGAATGCATCAAGAGTGTGAAACAACTCAAACAAGCTTGCTGTGCCATTAGAGGTTGCCATGTAAGAGCTGATAAACTTGGTGATAGTGACATCAAC